CTGAGAGCTTAATTAAAATCAACTGAGAATTTAAAACTATGAAAAACCTTGGTTAGAAGACACAATGAACTACAGAGACTTAAGTCAGTCTAGGAGAAGGCAGAATGACTTGATGCCAGTTACCGTTTATTCAAGTGACTGGGAACATCATGTGCTCTGGCACATAATCCCTGAGGCCAAAGATGCGGGTGCTGCCAGCGCTCTCAACTATAAAGCTCATGAAACTTCATAGCAAACCTGTGATGTGACTGATTTCCTCACCATCGCTGCTCTCCCCCTCCCCTTTCCAAAAAACAACTTGGACCATGATTTAACTGTTTGAGGCCTTTTTAAAATGGACATTTTCTAAAAAACCAAAACCATATAACTGTGTAAATTGTTAATCTTTTTTTAAAAGCAGGTGGATGTTCCATCACCCTCCCAAGTCAAATCCTCTGCCTCCACAATGCTGCATTAAAATCATGAATCTTTAAGATTGAGCCAATATCAGTTTAGCTTTAAAGCAGAAGACCTGATCCTTGAAGTTACTGGTAATCTAGATTAAAAATTCAACAAAGGTATATGGCTAGGCTTGAGTTTGGGAATTTTCCACACACCTACCAGGATCCTAAACTGCATTCCTTAGGCCTGCTGAACTGCCATTGGAATTTAGGGTGCGCAAAAGAATGCGGGATCGGGCCCAACTGCATTGCTTATAAGAGGCAAGATAAGTGAAGATGGTTTAAAAACACATTACTTTGGGGTAACATTCAATTACTACTTTTTGCTGGATTTTCCTTCATTTTTGACAGTGTCTGCTCTGGTACAGGGAAATAGGATCAGCAAGCAGTTCAGAGTGAGGTAGTTGCAGAGGCAAATTATTTTCTTTAATCTCGCGTCAAAGTAGAATAATATATAGATGTGTATTTGAAAAGGGTGCCTCTATATGCTTTAGGTCCCTTGGTTGTAACTCAAAAATGCAAGTACATTGTATATAAGAGAACCTAGCAAATTTTGGAAGCAGATACTTATTTTTAGCAAAACTCTTGCTGTTCACCCTTAAATTCCAGTTAGTTCCTGTAACAGTGAACCATCCATAGTCACGCTGTTATACTCAATAAGCTAGTGCTGTTCAGCTACTGGTTTGTATATGGCAGTAATGGAAAATATATTTTTCAAGTTCATGATATTATCCAAATGGAAAGTGATTCTCTAGGGGGAACAGCAAAAAAGCCCCTTCCTCATGTCGCTCATTACGTTTTTTTGTTCTCAGCATGTTTGTACACTAGCTACAAGAAACCAAACTGAGCTTGCATAGATCAGAAAATGCCAGTAGTGGGGGGTAATTTGGAGAGGGAACACATTGAATGGGTCAGCAACATGGCTGGGAGATGTGCTAAAACAGGGCTAGTGGAGCCTAGCTGATGTGTGGAGAATGGGCTAGCTGGCTTGGTATTCAAATTGTGGGACATAATATGTACAACTGTCTAAATGACTACTAAGAACATATATTTTTCCTGATTGAAAAACTGGGAAATTCAGTGGCAAACTGTTAATGCAGAGATAAGGTTGCTAGTAGTCTTTCCTTGCAGAACATTGAGTTGAGCAAAGCTCAAATTTCTGAAAGCCAGGAAATGCACAGTTAAGGTTGCCCATGCAACCTTAACTCTACCATCTTTCAGCAATGCCCCCAATATGTCCTGCCAGTCCCACAGTTGTTGAAATTGCTGTTCACCTCTTTTTACAACCTATTTATTCTCATCCATGGGATTCTATCTACCACTATTAAAGAACAAAAAGGGGGAAAAAATTGCCCACACTTGGTTATCTCAGAGACCACCTCTCCTACAATGCTGTTTCACGGTGGCAGTTTGGATCAGTTAGCAGTTTTTCTGCCACTGTGAATTACAGTACTCTGTCAGCAGAGACAGAGCTTTCTTGACTGAATCACTCTAGCAGAAAAAGGGTCAATTTATTCTGTTCCTGCTATTAGCAGGTTTGTGTTTGTAGTCCCCAGTGCTGCCCACTCTCTCTTGCCTGGATTATTTATCAAAATCTAGTAGGTTCAGTAACTGCTGCTTCTGATTTATAAGCAAAGATAATTATACAGAAAACTTTTTAATTGAATTAAAATATTTGTGAAAAGTCAGTTGAGCTGTAGAGGTTGATTTGACCATTTCTCCTGAACTATGATCGTTTTTGGTTTGTTTGTTTTTTATTTTTAAAAAAAAAAAAACTTTAAGGGTGAGATCTTCAAAGTCTTCAGCATTGGCCAACTTTTCCCACTGAAGTCAAAGAGCGTTTTATCACTAACTTCAGTGAAAGCAGTTAGGCCAGTGTTGAATGCTTCTGAAAAGCCCACTCTTAAGCTTCCTTTTTTTTTCTTTTTTTTTTTCTTTTGTGTCTTGTTGATTTCCAGATAACTCATAGCCATGGTTTAACAATACTAAGTATTTCAGAGAGACTGAAATTCTGTGTTTTAGTGACTGTCTCTTTTGGCATACATGATATAAATATAACCCCATCTGTGTTTATCAAAAATGATTTCCAGATAAATTTTTAGAGGCGAAGAATGCAGCAGACTGGTAGGTCTTTAAACCAAAACATCACCAGTGTACTAAGTAGCTGTGTGTGACAGTCAATAACTAACTTGTCTCACGTTTTGCTTATATCATATGCTTTCCTGTTTGACAACGTGATGTATCACACAGCATTGTACCACAGTTTGACCTGCCTAGTTTAGTTGAATAATATGTTGTTTTAACATGACTCTTCATTTTCTTAATCATTACTGTAACAAAACTCCCTCGATCGCGTCCAGTGAAACTTTCCTCTCTAGCTCTCAGTCTGGGTGGTGAGCATTTGTTTTAGTGCTGAAAAATCCAATTCCTGCAACATTTCCTTAAGTAGGAAACTGTTTCAATATATTTAGTATTAATTAAAAAACTGAGAAGTGTGTGTACATGGCGCATATTTCTGATCATAAACTGATTCATACCGCACCAGTGGATGTCACTAAGAACTACCCAGATTAGTGACTACACTGTTTCACTAGTAACTAACGTACGTCAAGGGACAAGAAGCAGAGGAAGATTTAAAGGGCAAAAACCAAAGGATCTGGGTGGTATAGGGTGCAGTAAAGCTTTTATTGCCTCTTATTTGCGAAGACTTTCATAACTAGACTCGTGACTCTGCCATCCATAAGTAATATTGTCTTCCTGAATTTGTAGCAATAAAAAATGTATGGAGCCCTGTTCGGTCATGCACTCTCTTCTACTGTGTCTTTCCTCTCTTGGTTGATTTGTCTGAGTTTGTTTTAGGTTTTTAGAAAATAATCAGACTAGTGTGTTTAGAATCTTTCTGTAATTGAAATGTTGTTTTTCTGACCTTCTGATTCTTAAATCACTTATATTTTTCTAAGCAGCAATGCAAATTAACAACTGCTTGTAACATAAGTATAGCATTCTGTCTTTTGATCACTGGACAATCTTTGAGTCTCTTGATCAGCTTGGCCTGGCACTATATTTTGCAGGTAGTATTGTAACTCTCCTAGCTATGACTGCGTATTAGTTACCTTAATTTACTAAAAGTCTACATTCCACTCTGTCTCATCTTGCTAGTTTTAATATGCCCTCTTTTGTCTGTCAGCATATAGACTATTAAATACCAGTTTGAGTTTGCCTCAACTTTGAATCTGACTGGGTCATTAAATCTCAAATAAGAGAGGTGTATGCACATGAAGAACCGTTTAGCTTCAAGCTTAGTAGGAGAGGTATGTACTATATTCCAAATATTTAAGACGACTAGAACAGGATTGTCAAGGTTCCTTCCCCACTCTGAACTCTAGGGTATAGATGTGGGGACCTGCATGAAAACCTCCTAAACTTGCTTTTACCAGCTTAAGGTTAAAACTTCCCCAAGGTACAAACTATGTTACCTTTTGCCCTTGGACTTTCGCTGCCACCACCAAACGTCTAACCGGGTTTATTATTGGGAAAGAGCCATCTGGAAACGTCTTCCCCCCCAAAATCCTCACCAAAACCTTGCACCCCCCTTCCTGGGGATGGTTTGATAAAAATCCTCACCAATTTGCATAGGTGACAACAGACCCAAACCCTTGGATCTTAAGAACAATGAAAAGAAGCATTCAGTTTCTTACAAGAAGAATTTTAATAGAAGAAAAAGTACCATTTCTGATTTTACAGAGGGCATTCTTTTTAAATACCTTACAGGGTAATTAGATTCAAAACATAGAGAATCCCTCTAGGCAAAACCTTAAGTTACAAAAAGACACACAGACAGGAATATCCATTCTATTCAGCACAGCTTATTTTCTCAGCCATTTAAAGAAATCATCATCTAACGCATCTCTAGCTAGATTACTTACTAAGTTCTAAGACTCCATTCCTGTTCTGTCCCTGGCAAAAGCATCACACAGACAGACCCAGACCCTTTGTTTCTCCCCCCTCCAGCTTTGAAAGTATCTTGTCTCCTCATTGGTCATTTTGGTCAGGTACCAGCGAGGTTATCCTAGCTTCTTAACCCTTTACAGGTGAAAGGGCTTTTCCTCTGGATTTTAAAGGTGTTTACCCTTCCCTTCCCTTTATATTTATGACATGGATGATTTCTTTTTTAAACTAAAAATGTAATGGTCTATTATAAGGACCTCTCTGTTTCCATAAAAGTAACCAAAGTCTTGCTGTGACCCAATAGGATTAATGTATAGAACCCAGGTGAAACTGGCAGCATGCTTATGACTAGGAGATGTGCTGTCATCTCTATCTTTATCCATTTATTTTGGTTGTGTGTGTAAGAAAACCTTTAAAGATATTCTCTGAATATTTCTGTAGCAGTTCATATTTTGAAAAGCTAATGACGACCTAGATAAAATATGTCCAAAAACAAGTTCCTTGAAGAAAGTGGCTGAAGTTTTTATGATTTGATGGATGACAGTAGTAAAAGATTTTGCATTCAAATTCACAATGATTAAAATTTTGGGGGTTTTTTGTATGTGTCCACAGAAACTGTGTGAAGGAATCTTAAAGATCCTCGAAAAAGACACAAAAACTTCATGTCAAGTTGCTTGTCTTGAAGCCCTTCGGATTCTCTCCAGAGATAAGAAGGTTTTAGTGCCTGTGACAACAAAGGAAAACATGCAGATCCTGATGAGGCTGGCAAAGCTGGACATGACAGAAGATTCTTTGGAGGATGTGTCCAATTTCCCTGTTATAGTGGAAGCTTTAAAATGCCTCTGTAACATAGTTTTTAATAGTGCCATTGCACAGAAGCTCAGTTTGGAACTGAACCTTGCAGCTATGCTTTGCAATCTACTGAAAAAATGCAAGGACCAACAGTTTGTTGATGACATTAAATGTTTTGATTTGCGCCTTCTCTTCCTCCTGTCACTTCTGCACACAGAGATTCGGTCACAGTTGCATCATGAGCTACAAGGGTTGCAGGTTTTGACTCAAGCCTTGGAAAGTTCATTTAGCATAAGATGGACAGACAAATACAAAGCTGCTGAAGAGCATGATGGATCTCCTTTATCGCTACAAGAAACAGATTGTGCCATTGAGGCACTCAAAGCTCTCTTTAATGTGACGCTTGACAGTTGGAATGTCCACAGTGAGGTAAGGTCTGAGTTTAAATTCTTTGATTGGGCTTATTTTGTCTGCAAGAACCATAGCCACCTCATACTTAAATTGGAGAAGCAATTGCCCAGTCATCAGAGCAGGGCATTCCCTTGTTTAGGACAGTACTTAAAAGCTAAACACATGCTTAAGTGCCCTTCTGAACTAGGGCCTCAAAAAGGTGGTGAATCCTTAATGTTAGGAAAAAACTTTGAGGTCCTCAGAGGAAAGTAACTACACAGTGAGGGTTGGATGGATGGTGTAATACAAATTTTTATTTTTTTTAAGGTTTTTATATATAAACTCAAATATGCAGTTGAATGTCTAATGAGAATGAGGCTGGATGAGAGCTTAAGGTTTCCAAAGGGAAATAAGCACTAGTTAAGCACATTAAAATATATGTTGGTTAGGATAACTTTTTTCTTTAAATGTGTGTTGTTCAGATGACCATCTCTCTGGATTATAGCCAGCAATTAAGGCTGTGGAACAATGACTTGATTGTTTTTATGTGGACACAATTACAAACAGATCAGCTTTTTTTAAGAACAAGTAATTGTTTGAGGGAAAGAGGTGTGCTTTTTTCCTTAAGATGTTAAATGATGAGACGCAATACATGCACCTTGTTGGTATAATTTTTAAATAGGATTTACCTTTTCTCTTGCTGAATGTCAAACCAGTTGCCTCGAGAGAACCTATGGCACCTGGAATATGACACATCGGCCTTCCTGTCCTCCACTCTTTTTTGTTGTTTACCCCACTTGTCACATCTTAAAATTATATTGTAAGCTCTTTCAAGTCAAGCACTGTAAATATGATTACAACTGGTAAGTCTAAAGAGAAGGTATTTACACTATAGTAATTTTGCCATATAGTTAAACCTCAAAACAAATGTCTTAATTATCAAGCAGAGATTCTTTTGTGTAAGGTCAGTGTGTTAGACTAATCTGCAGAGAGGTTAACAATCCTAAGAACATGAGAGCCCGGATATGAATTACTCACCCAGGAATGTGGGACTTGAAAAGAGTTTTGAAATTAACAATTCAGTTAAAAATTTTCCAAAATTATGGGGCCCTGAAGAAAAATGTAACTCCCAAAATAGAAAAAAGTTTAGGTCTGAATGTCACAGTAGATAGCATAGTCTTCAGACTCTTGGATAATCCACAAGAAAGCGAGGGACTTTTCTTGCTCTTGCTTTTGACTTACAACCTCAATAATTAAAAAGAAAGTCTCTCTTGACAGGAAGAGATGCCTTACCTTTGTCTAGACAAACAGTAGCATTAAATGTGTGTGCTCAGGGGTGGAAAATATGACCTCCTAAGTGTAAGTGTGTGTATAATATGCATGCATGTATATGCACTTAGGAGGTCATATTTTATTTATATATAAATGCATGCTGTATAAATGTATGCATTTGGAAAGAAGTTGGGTGAAAATAAATGACTTTATTTCCCTCAGACAGAATTACCTGGTCATAAAATCAAAGATGTTAAACTGTAGACTCAAGCCACGTTATGTGTTTACTTCATGGGTAGCAACTCCTTCTTCTGAAACCTAAGTCTTGATGCTGATAAGTTCTACTTCTCCATCTCTGAGGGTTTCCAGTAGCACTAGATGAAGGTTTTATCTCCTGACGAAGGGACTACAGAAATTATGTAACATCCTTTTGAATATAAAGCAACTACCTCTCATGGACATGGGCACCTTGCTTAAAAATATCTAAATCAGATGACACCTCACATTAAGCCTGTATAAGACCTGATCATACTGGAACTGGTTGACTTGCAGGGAACTGCAGCTGTCACAAAAGGGGGATGTCTATTATAATTTTGATCACCAGATCTTTCAGTATATTTTCAAGACAGGATAGACCACATACTCCTGGGTCTTGCCTATCTGTTAAAATATAGAGCAGAATTCACTGAAGCTATCACTTGCCCTGGTAAGATGAATTTGTAGCTTCAAGCATTTTTCTCCATGCTACGTTTGTTTGGTTTTCAAAATAGTGACTGTGCAGCAAGTTGGGCTTCCTGTGTTTTTTGAAAGGGGAGTAGTTCATCACTGTCTTCTTCCTTGAGAACATAAAGATTGAAGCTGAATATGGTATCTCTTAGCAGTCACAGTGCACTAATGTCTGCACCTGTATCTTTTTAGGTAGGTAGTCTGTAATTAGGGACGTATCGCATGAAAAGTAGTCTTACCTCTGATCTAGGCCACTGAAGTAAGCTCTTAGAAACTGTGTTTGGTTGCTTGAATTTTTCCAACATGAGCCCATTTGATATTGCAACAGACTTCCCAAAGTCCTGTGGACTATCAAGTGAAACCATGGTGCGGCTGAACTATAGGGAAGGATCAACAGTTAGCTATTTGGCCAACTCTTGGTTATTTTGTCTTCATTTTCTGACACCTGAAAGGAAGGGTATGATTACAGATACTGTGGAGTTGTTAAGAAGGTTGAGAAGGCATCTTTCCCAATGCTTTCTCGCACTGAAACCTCAAAAACGATGGAGTTTTGTGCGTGTGGGAACTGGCAGTCTCAGCAGTGGCATTTCCTACTGATTCAGTTGGGGGAATATCTTTAGAAAAGTGGAGGTTTCATCTCAGAACTTTGCCCCTGGACAAGCCAAACAAGCCAGTCTGAACTGAAGAAACAGCTTATGCTGAGGGAGCATAATGAAGAAGGGAAAAGGGAAGTACTGTTGCATTGGGTCACTCTATTTTCTATCACATGAGTATTGGATCTCTTCTAGGCTTAGAAATTTTATTTTGTATTTCAAGATAGAGCTTTTATAGTAACTTATTTGCTAAAGGTTTCCAAAGCCAAACAGCACTTCAGTAAAAGCTATTCTCTCTAGTTCTAAACTTTAACATTCCCCAAAGGATCCTTGTTGGGCAAAGTGTTGTTTAACATCCTTTTTAATGATCTAGGAAAAGAGGTAAACAGTACACTAATTAAGTGTGCTGGCGATGCAGAATTAGGAGACGTTGCAAACATCCGGGAGGATGGAAAAATTATAAAGGGATCTAAAGAGTTTATTCCTATGAGCTCAAAATGAGATTCAACCTCAACCTGTATCTGAAACACCAGAATTCAATGGCAGGAAATAATTTCAAAGTAGCAATGCCAGAATAGAGTTGATCTTGAGTATCAAATTGGAGGACGAGGTGGTGATGGTTTAACGTTTATATTACAGTAGCACCCCAGGGCCCAATCAGAATTGGATCCCATTGTGTTAGGTTCTACAAACACTTGAGTCTTCATTGCCAAGAGAAACTAACAGTCAAAAAGAAAATAAATAGGGAAGGGGACAGGGATAACCCATACAACTCAATGATTGTGGTGGTTATTGGCACACTTTAATTATGTATTTTTTTGCTCCTGTTTAGGGCTTTTTGGGGAGGGATGAGTGGGCGAGGTCATTTTAAAAAAAAGGGCAAAGATAGGGTGAGTGGGAATGGGAAGAGTAGACAAGTTAAATAAGGGAGAAGAGAAGGACTGAAGGGGCAAAGAAGAGAGTAAGAAGGAATATGGAGGACAGCGGATTGAGATGTGTTTTAAAAAGACTGAGGAATAGGGGAGAGAGGAGTTTGGCTGTTTGTCCCAATCAGACTGAGGAATGTATGTAGTCTAAACTTTCAAAAGCAGTCAGTGACATCATTGATGCCCAGGAGCCATGAAGGAATGTTGCTGCCACTGTCCCTGATTACTGCAAGGGACAAATCTCTGGCACCAATGGCTGGCTCCTCTTCTGGGAATTTTGGCGCTGCCAGCTTTCAGGGGAAATAGATCTAGTGCCCCCAGGATGAGATTGCCCTCTTCTCCTCCTCCCTCCCCCCCCCCCAAAAAAAAAAAAACAAAACAAAACACCAACCTGCAGTGAGATACAGGAGTGCAAAAAATGGCAGAGACATTCTGGGTAGCTTAAAGAGAAGTGACACCTCACAGAATGAGGAGGGCTAAGGGTAATGTAACACATACCAAAATTTGGTATGTGTAAATGGCAGGGAAAGGGAGAAGATAGTTGTGGAGTTGAAATTGAGCAAAGGATAACTTAGTCTGAATATCAAGATAAATTTCCTAATTATGAAATGTTAGACTGGAAGGGCTAGATGCACAAAAGGACTTGCATGCTTAACTCACACTTTAGGCACCTAAATCCCAGAATCAGGCCCCAGTGGGATTTACAAAAACCCCACTCCGCTGCTGCCAAACCATGTAGGCACCTAAACTTCCTCTGCTCCTAAATTTTTACTGTAAATGTTCCCTATGCCTATATTTTGGCATCTGAGCATGCTCAGTGCAGCCCCACGCTGGGCATCCAGACACCTAAGCCCCAGTGCAATTTGGGCCCTACATGCATTCCTATATCTAACTTGCCTGTGGGGCCTGATTTACTATGCGTGTTTAGAGCTCACCTCTCAGATTGCCCCCTCTAGATGAGTTTACACAAAACAGCTGGAGGAGGAGGACCTTTGTCATAACTTTTAGCCCAGTGGTCTAAATGTAGGAGACCCTGGGCTCAAGTTCACCCTCCACCTGAGGAGGAAAAAGGATTTGAACAGGGATCTGCCACTTCTCAGGTGAGTGCCCTAACCACTGGGCAGTGGGATAGTCTGATGTGGGGTCCCTCATTCTCTCTCTCCTGCTGAAACTGTTCCACTGTATATAAATAATTAGTCATTGGATCCTGGACCTCCCACTGTCCAGGTGAGTACTCGAACCACCATGCTACAAAGTCATTCTAGAGTTTGTTCTCTTTCCGGCCCAATGATGCTTTCATTGTTTATCCACAATACAACAGCTTCAACACCAGAGACTGAGGGAGCCCCACCTCAGAATATCTCCCCTTCAGGTGAAGGGGGGAGTTGAGTCACCAGTCTCCCACATCCCCGGTGAGTACCCTAACCATTGTACTAAAAGTTATGAGGAAGATTCTCCTGCTCCCCCAACTTTCTGGCAAAAATGGCATACGTTTCCTATGCCAGGAGGAGAGAAGACTTTTTTGTAACTGCCAGCCCCGCAAAGGGAGGCACCTCCCTGCATCCTGGACTTAGAGCCAAGTTCCTTAAGAGGGGCAGGGGCTTAGGACAAATCCCTTACCTTGGTCTCTCCCATTGGCTAACTTAAGTGGAAAGCCTCCCCATGTAGTAGCTTGTGTGATTCCCATTCTGAGGCTTCTGTCTGTCCCCATTCATTGTATAGGGAGGCTAGGTGCCTAACTCAGGCTTCGTGAATCCCAATGATCTATTTTCTTTTTTTTAAAGGTGCATAAAGTTTGTGAATCTAGCCCAAACAATCTCCCAGAGGAAATAATGGATTTAGAGTAACTTAAAACTAGACTGCACCAAGCATTCAAATGAACTCTGAAAGAGCAGTCCTTTATTGGTAGGAAATAGATTATATGATCTAATGGGTGTTTTCCGTCTTTAATTTTTATTATTCTAGTGACCTGAAACCCTCATTTGCAATCGTCAAAATGAAAATATCTTCATAATTTATATTTATATAGAATGAATCTCATCAATTTCGTTATATGGCTGCCATCCTTCGCCACTGCTTATTAACCGTGGGCCCTACTGAAGACAAAACTGAAGAATTGCACAGGTTGGTAGAATTAACAGAACCAATATATTTTTGAAGGATAACTTCTTTAGTTAGAGCATTAAATATTTCTCTTTAGATTTTAGCAGATCAATATAATGTCTAAAAATAATATCCACTGTCCAAAAAAATAGATTAAAAAGTAATCCCTGAACTGCATAACCCTTAAGACTGAGAGAATATACTGAAATGTAAAATGTACTTGTGCAAATATTGAGGATAAAATTGTTTACAGGAATTCTAGCTGCAGCACTTCTTGAAGTTATCTTTAACTGTAATTGTCTCAGCCCTGATCTACACTAGGACTTTAGGTCGAATTTAGCAGCGTTAAATCAATGTAAACCTGCACACGTCCACACGATGAAGCCCTTTATTTCTACTTAAAGGGCTCTTAAAATAGATTTCCTTACTCCACCCCGACAAGTGGATTAGCGCTTAAATTGGCCTTGCCGGGTCGAATTTGGGGTACTGTGGACACAATTTGACGGTATTGGCCTCCGGGAGCTATCCCAGAGTGCTCCATTGTGACCGCTCTGGACAGCACTCTCAACTCGGATGCACTGGCCAGGTAGACAGGAAAAGGCCCAAGAACTTTAGAATCTCATTTCCTGTTTGGCCAGCGTGGCAAGCTGCAGGTGACCATGCAGAGCTCATCAGCAGAGGTGACCATGATGGAGTCCCAGAATCGCAAAAGAGCTCCAGCATGGACTGAACGGGAGGTACGGGATCTGATCGCTGTTTGGGGAGAGGAATCCGTGCTATCAAAACTCCGTTCCAGTTTTCGAAATGCCAAAACCTTTGTCAAAATCTCCCAGGGCATGAAGGACAGAGGCCATAACAGGGACCTGAAGCAGTGCCGCATGAAACTGAAGGAACTGAGGCAAGCCTACCAAAGAAAACCAGAGAGGCGAACGGCCGCTCCGGGTCAGAGCCCCAAACATACCACTTCTATGATGAGCTGCATGCCATTTTAGGGGGTTCAGCCACCACTACCCCAGCCATGTTGTTTAACTCCTTCAGTGGAGATGGAGGCAACACAGAAGCAGGTTTTGGGGACGAGGAGGAGGTTGTAGATAACTCACAGCAAGCAAGTGGAGAAACCAGTTTTCCCAACAGCCAGGAACTGTTTCTCATCCTGGACCTGGAGCCAGTACCCCCCAAACCCACCCAAGGCTGCCTCCTGGACCCGGAAGGCGGAGAAGGGACCTCCGGTGAGTGTACCTTTTTAAAATACTATACATGGTTTAAAAGCAAGCGTGTGAAAGGATTAATTTGCTCTGGCATTTACGGCTCTCCTGGATGTACTCCCAAAGCCTTTGCAAAAGGTTTCTGGGGAGGGCAGCCTTATTGCGTCCTCCATGGTAGGACACTTTACCACTCCAGGCCAGTAACACGTACTCGGGAATCATTGTACAACAAAGCATTGCAGTGTATGTTTGATGGCATTCAAACAACATCCGTTCTTTATCTCTCTGTTATCCTCAGGAGAGTGAGATATCATTCATGGTCACCTGGTTGAAATAGGGTGCTTTTCTTCAGGGGACACTCAGAGGTGCCCGTTCCTGCTGGGCTGTTTGCCTGTGGCTGAACAGAAGTGTGCCCGCTGTTAGCCACGGGGAGGGGGGAGGGTTGAGGGGGTAGCCACATGGTGGGGGAAGGCAAAATGCGACCTTGTAATGAAAGCACATGTGCTATGTATGTAATGTGAACAGCAAGGTTTGCCCTGAAAGAGTGTAGCCACTGTTTTATAAAATGTGTCTTTTTAAATGCCGCTGTCCCTTTTTTTCTCCACCAGCTGCATGTGTTTCAATGATCACAGGATCTTCTCCTTCCCAGAAGCTAGTGAAGCTTAGAAAGAAAAAAAACGCACTCGCGATGAAATGTTCTCCAAGCTCATGCTGTCCTCCCACACTGACAGAGCACAGATGAATGCGTGGAGGCAAATAATGTCAGAGTGCAGGAAAGCACAAAATGACCCGGGAGGAGAAGTGGCAGGCTGAAGAGAGTAAGTGGCGGGCTGAAGACAGGGCTGAAGCTCAAATGTGGTGGCAGCATGATGAAAGGAGGCAGGATTCAATGCTGAGGCTGCTGGAGGATCAAACCAGTATGCTCCAGTGTATGGTTGAGCTGCAGCAAAGGCAGCTGGAGCACAGACTGCCACTACAGCCCCTGTGTAACCAGCCGCCCTCCTCCCCAAGTTCCATAACCTCCACACCCAGATGCCCAAGAACGCGATGGGGGGGCCACCGGCCAACCAGCCACTCCGCCACAGAGGATTGCCCAAAAAAAAGAAGGCTGGCATTCAATAAATTTTAAAGTTGTAAACTTTTAAAGTGCTGTGTGGCATTTTCCTTCCCTCCTCCACCACCCCTCCTGGGCTACCTTGGTAGTCATCCCCCTGTTTGTGTGATGAATGAATAAAGAATGCATGAATGTGAAGCAACAATGACTTTATTGCCTCTGCAAGCGGTGATTGAAGGGAGGAGGGGCAGGTGGTTAGCTTACAGGGAAGTAGAGTGAACCAAGGGGCGGGGGGTTTCATCAAGGAGAAACAAAGAGAACTTTCACACCGTAGCCTGGCCAGTCATGAAACTGATTTTCAAAGCTTCTCTGATGCGTACCCTGCCCTCCTGTGCTCTTCTAACTGCCCTGGTGTTTGGCTGCGCATAACCAGCAGCCAGGTGATTTGCCTCAACCTCCTGCCCCGCCATAAACGTCTTCCCCTTACTCTCACAGATATTGTGGAGCACACACCAAGCAGTAATAACAGTGGGAATATTGGTTTCGCTGAAGTCTAAGCGAGTCAGTAAACTGCGCCAGCGTGCCTTTAAACGTCCAAATGCACATTCTACCACCATTCTGCCCTTGCTCAGCCTGTAGTTGAACAGCTCCTGACTACTGTCCAGGCTGCCTGTGTACGGCTTCATGAGCCATGGCATTAAGGGGTAGGCTGGGTCCCCAAGGATAACTATAGGCATTTCAACATCCCCAACAGTTATTTTCTGGTCTGGGAATAAAGTCCCTTCCTGCAGCTTTTGAAACAGACCAGAGTTCCTGAAGATGCGAGCGTCCTGTACCTTTCCCGGCCATCCCACGTTGATGTTGGTGAAACGTCCCTTGTGATCCACCAGAGCTTGCAGCACTATCGAAAAGTACCCCTTGCGGTTTATGTACTCGGCGGCTTGGTGCTCCAGTGCCAAGATAGGGATAGGGGTTCCATCTATGGCCCCACCACAGTTAGGGAATCCCATTGCAGCAAAGCCATCCACTATGACCTGCACATTTCCCAGCGTCACTACCCTTGATATCAGCAGATCTTTGATTGCGTGGGCTACTTGGATCACAGCAGTCCCCACAGTAGATTTGCCCACTCCAAATTGATTCCCAACTGACCGGTAGCTGTCTGGCGTTGCAAGCTTCCACAGGGCTATCGCCACTCGCTTCTCAACTGTGAGGGCTGCTCTCATCTTGGTATTCATGAGCTTCAGGGCAGGGGAAAGCAAGTCACAAAGTTCAATGAAAGTGCCCTTACGCATGCAAAAGTTTTCGCAGCCACTGGGAATCGTCCCAGACCCGCAACACTATGCGGTCCCACCAGTCTGTGCTTGAACGCCGATTCTGGGCTCGGGAAACCACAGCATGAACCTGCCCCATTAGCACCATGATGCATGCATTGGCAGGGCCCATGCTTTCAGAGAAATCTGTGTCCATGTCCTGATCACTCACGTGACCGTGCTGACGTCACCTCCTCGCCCGGTATCGCTCTGCCAGGTTCTGGTGCTGCATATACTGCTGGATAATGCGTGTGGTGTTCAATGTGCTCCTAATTGCCAAAGTGAGCTGAGCGGCCTCCATGCTTGCCTTGGTATGGCGTCAACACAGAAAAAAGGTGCGGAACGATTGTCTGCCGTTGCTCTGACGGAGGGAGGGGTGACTGATGACATGGCTTACAGGGAATTAAAATCAGCAAAGGGGGTGGCTTTACATCAAGGAGTATTTCAGGCAGAACTTCACAGAGGGCTCCAATAAGAAATGGTGCACCTAAGTAATTGTTCTTATTGGAACAAGCAGGTTGGTCTCGCCTCTGATTGATACATGGCTAGATTTACCTCGCTGCACCTTCTCTGTGATTAACTGCAGTGTGACTGAGAGGAAGGAGTCCCCTAGATGGGGGAGAAGGGGGAAAGCAAATGAGTACAAAACAAAGCTGGGCTATTTCTTGTTTTGATCAACTCCATCTATCTTTTACATCTTTGGCTGGCAGCAGATGGTGCAGAAGGACTGCAAGCCATCCACATCTCATGGCTGCTCGGCAGAAGATGGTACAATAGGACTGCTAGCAATCCGTATTGCCTGCCTGCTCACCATAAGATGGTTCAATAGGACTGACTGCAGGACTAAAGAGAATGACCTGGTCAAGTCACTTCTAATGTAGTCCCTGCACCCATGTCTGCCCAGGCGCTCCTGGCTGATGTGGCCAGGAGCACCTCGGACATGATGATGACAGCTACCACTCCTATTGTACCGTCTGCTGCCACAAGGCAATGAGTTGCTGCTGCTGTGTAGCAATGCAGTACCACGTCTGCCAGCACCCAGGAGACATATGGTGACAGTTACCTGAGTGGACTCCATGCTTGCCGTGGTATGGCGTCTGCACAGGTAACTCAAGAAAAAAGGCGTGAAACGATTGTCTGCTGCTGCTTTCACGGACGGAGGGAGGGAACGGGAGACTGATGATATGTACCCAGAACCACCCGCGACAATGTTTGAGCCCCATCAGGCATTGGGATCTCAACCCAGAATTCCAATGGGCAGTGGAGACTGCGGGAACTGTGGGATAGCTACCCACAGTGCAACACTCCGGAAGTCGACGCTTGCCTCGGTACTGTGGAAGCACTCCGCCGAGTTAATGCACTTAGAACATTTTCTGTGGGGACACACACACTCAAATATATAAAACCGATTTCTAAAAAACTGACTTCTATAAATTCGACCTAACTTTG